CAAGTTGAATCTGATCTGTGTTCTCAGCCACAATATCTCTGAGCTTTGTGTGGCCGCCTGGCACCAGTGTGATTGTCATCTGTTTCATGCATGCTGAGTGAGTAAGAAGACGAGTCTGATTCAAAACTAAAACTCAGAAATGAAAAATAAAAATGAAAACTATAGCCAAAACATACCTTTGGAAGTCGAAACCCCATTCAACCCTCTTCAAAACCCATGTATACTACCTCTTCAAGGTACTCTGCCCATAGAACATTCAAATATAACGCCCGTGCGTTCTATTGGAATATAATGCCCGGGCGTTCTATTCGAATATAATGGCCGGGTGTTTTATTCGAAGGGGCGTTCTATTTGAAAAAGTGAGTAAAAACGAAAATCTCATCTTTTTAGAAAGTTGAATATAACGCCCGGGCGTTATTTTCGGGTGAAGACGGTAGTTCCAAATAGCCTACGAAGTAACCTTCCTGATCATGCCATGCCACTTACTTTTGAACTCACTGACATCTGATGGAGGAGAAGGTGATTACTTTTGAACTCACTGACATGGGATGGAGGAGAAGGTGAAGGCTGTGTTTCGGGAAGGGGGTTGAAAATAGTCTGGTCCACAAATCAGTGGCTGTGGCCCAGTATTCAGTGGCTTCTTTGCATCCAATCAGGCTGGGCAATGTCCCCTTGTTCCTGATCTGGTGAGACCACACATCTATCTGAACTGTTATTGCCCCTATCTTTCCTTCTAATGGGCAGCTGCTGAGTAACTGGGAGGACGACGTAGGTGATCAGCCACTGTCAACGTGTGGGGTTGATTGGTCTTACAGATTTGTTTCTATTCTATGGGACCCTGGCATGTTGTTGTTGCTGTTGTTGGGACAAATTGATTTTATATTCAGGGATTTTTTTTATAACAAATACACCGCAACATTGCAGACACACAGATGGTTGAATAGATGGTTGGTATGGCTGGCAGGAATATGTTTAGTTTTGTAACTTGTATATACTGATTTGTCCTCCACTGGGGTCAATCTTGATGTGGATTGGCTGCAGGTGCGCAACCTCGTGGCTGAGCAGGGATTGCATCTGATCATTGAGCCCGGGAGGTCAATGGTTGCAAACTCATCTGCGCTTGTGATGAGGGTCACAGGAGTGAAGAGCAATGGGAACAAAGATTTCATTGTGGTGGACGGCAGTATGGCTGAACTCATTAGACCCAGCCTTTATGATGCATATCAGGTCTGTTGAATTTCCTTGTGGTGCACTCGAACAACAACTGCACCATCCCGCCCGTCTGCCCAACAGAAGGTCAACCATGACTTTTTGGTGGTTCAACACCGATCCTCTGAAAGTGTTTAAGAGAGTGCATTTCTCGGACTGTTGAATAGAGCTTTTTCTGTAATTGTGTATGAGCGACTCTCTGTTTCAACATCTTCTTTTATTCTCAATCAATCATATGAGCACTTGTTAATTGTTTGATGAATTTGTGGCTGCAATTGGCACACATGTGCTTTCATCATGAGTTCCTTTCTAGTTGGGGTTTGCAGGTCAAGTGCAATAAGTGCCTGTCTGACTTCGTTGAAACAATCGTTTCTATTTTGAGCACTGACTCAATGTGCCAAAATGCCTGTTGCTGTGTGATTGATGGCAGTGTTCTTGGCCAGCACTGTCTGTTGTTATGCAATAAACACATGCAAACATATGATAACGAGGGAGGGCACCAAAGAAGAAGCTCAACCGTTTTTCCTCATGTTCGTCGGGCTGTACTCTCCACATGTACAAAGTCATGTATCTATCCATATTCCCGTGGAAGATTCGATCTTGTCGTTTTGCATATTTGGAGAGTTGTGGAGCATGTCCCGTAACTACCACATGAGGGCCGTTTTTGTTGCCTGCCAAGTGGTGGGTACTGTTTTTTCCCCTTGTTTTCATTTTTTTTCCTTTTTATTCTCTTGGTTATACTGTGTGCGTGCATGTGGAAACATACTCGCCATAAACTACGCGGACAGCCTACAGTCCATTTGCCCCTCTTCCTTGGGCCCGACAACTTTTCCATAGCACTACCAAGCCTGCCCCGACCTCTAAAGTCGTGGCGCGTTAACGGCCGTGACTTTTTTTTTGGCTGGCCGAGGTACTGGTGGTTTAATAATGCGATACGGTGCCAACCACCGACTATCCAACATCCTTGACCATTGATTTCTAAAGACGAGTCGTAGACGAGAACAATATCGCCCACTTTCAATGGCTCTTTACGAACTCGAGGCCATTTGTCCGATCTGGCTTTGTCTGCCTGCCTGCTTTCAGCAGTAGAGGCAGCGGCCTCTTCAATTCTCTCCTCTGTGACCATTATTTGCCTTGCCCTGAGGTCAAGTAACTCTTTTGTGGAAAGATTAGCTTGCATATCTTGCTTCTGCCAAGTAGTCAGAAAGCTTTCAATTGGGAAAGTCGCATATCGACCAAACCATAGAGTCATCGGAGCATATCCTGTTGTACGCTTAATGGTAATATTTTCCATTAACATCACTGTCCTCTGATAAACAGGCCATCTTGATGGCTTACAACCCGGACACCACTTTGCCAATAAATTTGTCAAAGTACCATGTCCTCGCTCAACTGGAGCGTTAGCCTGTGAGTGAGCTCTCGTGAGTGTACTTTACCCCGATGTTTTTCAAACATGTTGCACATCGTTAGCTCGAAACTCCCCACTTCTACCCATTACAAACTCACGGATGAACGAATATCTGAGCTGGAGTTCTTGGGTTTATGAAAACGCGCGAAGCGATCACTTCAAGACATTCTGCCAGAACTTGTCCAATTTGGTCACGGAATGCACATCCATCAACTAAATTTGTTATCTTTGACATCAAATCCCAAGTGGCATTACTAATAGAGTGGGTCAAGTGGCTCAACATATCGAAGAATCGAACGTTTTTGACAAAGGACACAGGAGTTGCAAAAATCGACAACCATCCTCCCCATTCCTTCCGAGAAGTAGAGATGATGAATTTTCTTTAAAGTGACTCGTGTAGTGCAGCAATCACGTCAAGTTGCCTTGTCAAACCATATACCACTCTAACTCTTCTCAGGGTGCGGTCATCAGACTTTCTAAAGAGATGACCATATCTAACGAGGAAGTTCTTACTTTTCAAGCGAAGTTTTAGATCCACCTCATTTTCAGTCAATTCCCTATCGAAAGCTTCTTTAACTTCAGTACTTCCTCCTCTTGTCTTCATCTTAAGACAGTCTCCTTGAATCAAAGAGTTTACAAGTTCTAGAGGCTGTCTATTTGCTTGTGTCTTCCTTAGATTGTCAGAAACTCGTGTGAGCGACTTTCCTAACACAAGTTATGAACGCACAAAGAGGTTTTTCTTATCGAGAGGAAGCATTTACCAAGTAAGTAATAAATGTTCCTTTTTGTCTAGGAATTTGTCCACAGTAAAAGGGCCTTTACCCGATATAGGCCTCAGGCCTTGTAAAAATAAAGCAGCACGGGCCTTGAAAAAGTAAAGCAWTGTGAAAAGGTATCTCCCCAGAGCTCAGAAACGTGAAAGCAGGTCAAAGGTCAAGTTCTCTGTCAACAGGCATATCTAAAGCTAAGGCAAAGGGCATTGTCAAAAGACTTACCTGTTCACCAGGAGATGTGTATGTCATGTCTGTTTGGGTAAGAGTGTGTCTGTACGTGCAGGCAGTGTACCTGTTCGTGCAAAGTAAAGTGTCTGTTCAAGCAGTAAATGTGTCTGTTCGTTGAGAGTTGTGCCTGTCCGAAAATAAAGTTAATAGGCACAGTCCCAGTTCTGGTCTAAGTCTAGGGGTCAGTCCAGATCCAGACCTTCAAGTCCAAATTCAGGCCGGGAGGCCTCAGCAGCAGTTGAACTTCATTGGGACTCTACTGGGACACATGCAATGCAGGGTCTGGGACAAAAGGAAGGCTGGTTTGAGCCAATGCAGACCCAGCAAGGAGTATAAAAGAGGCAGCCAGCCTCATTCCTTGCCAGATCTCCACTGGCATTCTATGCGTGGAAGTGCTGGTGCACTTGTGCGTTGAGCCAGTAGGAGCAGCGCTGGAAGGAGAAGATGCGCTGAGTGAAGGGAGAAGCCTGTATGCTGGAAGTGATGCAGCCATAGCTGCCCAGCAAGTTAGCATTAGTAGTAGTGGGTTAGCATGTAGCTATGAGTAGTATCCAGAGTAGATCCTCATGAGTGAAGAGTGTGTATGCATCGTAGGAGGAAGGGACTGAGGCTGAAAGTGTTCATTCAAGGTTCGGCTATGGAAGATACTTACCTGGGTTAGACKTGACCTGCAGAGGTGGCGCTGAAGAAGTAGTGACCACATTGACGACTTGGAGATTGTCTGCAGATGTAGCGCTGATACATTGGAAGCCATATTGATGAGTTGATAAGAGATTGGTGTTGGGYTGATGAGCGCTGRACTCAGGGGAACTTTGAAACACTTTGTATTCATATTTCTGATAATATAAGTTGTGAAACTCGGTCCTCTTCTTCTCTACCTTTGTCTATGGTTGATACTATTGATCACTGCGTGTGAAGTTGATGCATGACATGTACACATTTGCGTGAGATGGTCCCTAGGACCCATGCAACAGGGATCGAATCTTTGCTTGATCCTTTGATGAGTCCCCACTTGATCCGACTCAGTCTATCTGCTCAAATCTGAGTATCGAAAATACGCTCGATCTAAAAACAAAACCTGCAGATATATGTTAACTATCGAGCAATTATAGGATCCGATGGAGTATAATTCGTCAATGACTGAGCCAAAGTTGCTGGATCCACCCGCAAAATAATTTCGGAAGACAGTGAACCACAATCAGAGTCTCTTTCTTGAATTGGGAATAATTACGCTCGGTAGTATTCAAAGTCCCACTCTCGAATCTCAACAGTCGCTCGCGCCCTTCCTTATCCTTCTAGATCAAAACTCCGCCCAACGTCGTGGGTCTTGCATCCGTCTCAACAATAAAGGGTCGACTAGGATCGTTGTCAAAACAAGGAACGTCGAGAATCATCCCGCCTTGTCGAAATTTCGCTTTCATACCGTTTACCGTCATTTGCTATCTTGGACCTCATTCCCAAGCTTGGTTTTTGCGTATCAGTTTTTGTACGTGCTCCACTCTTGTTGCAAACCTCCGGATAAAGATACGCCAAAACCCACAAGTGTCAAGGAAGCTCCGTATGTCCATGATGGATCTGAAAGTAGTCAATGATTCCAAAATCTTTTAGTATCAGGCCAACGACATTTCTCGTCATACAAAAAAACCAAAATAGTTGCCTCCCGTGTGCAGTGTCTTGACTTGACGTCGTTCGCCATGAGGTTGTACTCCTTCAACTTTCGTAAGACCTTCTCCACGTCGCGAACGTGCTCCTATACAAACTTTCGAACGTTCGGCAACACTTTCGTCTCGTCCTTCACATGAGGTCTTGGAATGGTTTAATCATCAATATATGGCGAGGTCATGTTTAAAAGTGGCCCTAATCATATATCGTTGCACAGTGGTGACGACATTTGTCCAACCTTGAGGTGCCGAACGCTTGTGAATTAATCCTCTAGGTGTATGTATTGTCGACATTGGTCTGCCCACTGTATACAAGGGGAATTGATCGTAATCCGAATATAGTTAAAGTTATGATAGGTCTACCCGCACATGATTTCGACAAATGATTTGCATGCGGAAGTACACCTGCATCACGTATTGTCAGCGTGTTTAGTCTCTGAAGGTCTTGGAACCACCTGAGAACGCTATTTGATTTGACGAAACAGAACCAAGGAGATGCATATGGTCCATATGAATAATCTGCTGCCTTCGTTCAAACCTTTCCATCCTGATTGTCAGCCACCTTGCGGTGATCGTATATATCCGGATAACGTGGACCTTTTATGTTCCACAGCTTATGCGACACCGTGTAAATCTTGATCATTGGAATCATACCCATCCAATTTTCCTCGCTTATCGTTGTCAAAAGTATATGCCAAATGTATGTCTTTCAAAGTGTCGACCACGAAGTCAATTTTTTCCTTGGTGAGACACCCTTCATCCCCAATAATCATCTCCTTTATCCCATCTTCAGTTAATCGACACGACCCTCTTTTTAAATTTTCATCGTCTTGATTCCACTCTTTTTCTACTTTATAATAAACTTTTTACTCGTGAGTGATCCAGATAGGCACAGGTTGAGCTTTCTTAGCTACTTCTTAGTGCTTGCACTTCGAGCCGACTGCAAGC